CTTTCCCTCTCCTCTCACAAACCAGCTTCCCTATACCAGTCACATAAGGCCCTAAAATGAGACAAAGTGGGAGCACCATAATGTTTGGGCATGCTTTCATATGATTTCATCAAGCTCACTAGTGACAATAGCAATCCAGAAAGAAATCAAGCTTGTCCTTTTTGCATAGCTCTCTAAACACACATAAGGCCCTAAAATGAGACAAAGTGGGAGCACCATAATGTTTGGGCATGCTTTCATATGATTTCATCAAGCTCACTAGTGACAATAGCAATCCAGAAAGAAATCAAGCTTGTCCTTTTTGCATAGCTCTCTAAACAAGTACCTTTTAGTATAGAATGTTAATGTGAGCCTGGTACAGATCAAGGTGCATTAGGCACAAAGAATCTTGCTGCATTAACGTATCTACCAAGATCTAGGTTCGCACTACCCTGGCTATCCTAGTATGAATTTGGGCAAACTGTAAAGGTGGGAACATTCACATGGACACATGTCTCCATGATTATATATGGAAACAGGCATCAATTAGGAAAGTGGGAATGTATTTAGCTTCCTGTATTCTCTGCTAACTCTAAGAAGGATGAAGGAACTAGACAGGGAACTGGTGCCCTGACCAGCAGAATCATAACTGTGACCCCACTTGCATCTGACACTTCACTAGATATCACCCACAATATTTAAAAACATAAGAACCACCAATGTTGGATCAGGCCAATAGCCCATCCAGTCCAACACTCTGTCACACTGTGGCCAAAAATACCAGGTGCTATCAGGAGGTACACCAGTGGGGCCAGGACACTAGAAGCCTTCCCATTGTTGCCCCCCCCCAAGCACCAAGAATACAGTGCATCACTTGCCCCAGAGTGAGACTTCCTATCGATACCTTGTGTCCAATAGCCACTGATGGACTTCTGCTCCATATGTTTATCTAATTCCCTCTTGAAGCCATCCATGCTTGTAGCCACCACCACCTCCTGTGCCAGTGAATTCCATGTATTAATCACTCTTTAGATGAAGAAGTACTTCCTTTTATCCGTTCTAACCTGACTGCTCAGCAATTTCATTGAGTGCCCACGAGTTCTTGTATTGTGAGAAAGGGAGAAAAGTACTTCTTTCTCTACCTGCTCTATCCCATGCATAATCTTATAAACTTCGATCATGTCACCTCTCAGTTGTTGTTTCTCCAAGCGAAAGAGCCCCAAGTGCTTTAACCTTTCTTTAACCTTTTGTCATTCGAGTTGCCCTTTTCTGCACTTTTCCCAATGCTATAATATCCCTTCTGAAGTGTGGTGACGAGAATTGTACACAATATCCCAAATGAAGTTGCAGCATTGATTTATATAGGGGCATTATGATACTGGCTGATTTGTTTTCAATTCCCTTCCTAATAATCCCCAGCATAGCATTGGCCTTTTTTATTGCAGTCACACACTGTCTCAACATTTTCCATGAGTTATCTACTACGACTCCAAGATCTCTCTCTTGGTCAGTCTCTGCCAGTTCGGACCCCATCAACATGTATTTATAGTTAGGATTTTTGGCTCCAATGTGCATCACTTTGCACTTGGCCACACTGAACCCCATTTGCCACATTAACACCCATTCGCCCAGCCTCAACAGATCCCTTTGTAGTGCCTTACAATCCTCACTGGTTCTCACCACCCTGAACAATTTAGTGCCATTCACAAATTTAGCCACTTCACTGCTTACTCCCAACTCCAAACCATTAATCAATAAGTCCAAAAGTATCGGACCCAGTACTGAGCCCTACAGTACCCCACTGCTTACCACCCTCCACTGTGAAAATTGCCCATTTATACTCACTCACTCTTTCCTATTAATTAGCCAGTTCTTGATCCACAAGTGAATTTGTCCTTTTATCCCATGACTATTGAGCTTACTTAGGAGCCTTTGATGAGGAACTTTATCAAAAGCTTTCTGGAAGTCAAGGGAAACAACATCTATTGGGTCCCCCTTGTCCACGTGTTTGTTCATTCCCTCAAAGAACACTAACAGGTTACTGAGACAAGTCTTAAGCACTGGTGACATTTAAAGAGAAATCAAAACAAGAGTGCTGACATTCTCAAGAAGTCTTAAGCACTGCTGAATTCCATGTCCAGTACACTCATTCAACTTTTATGCAGTGTGATGACATTGTCATGGATTACACACAGCCTTGCATATAATTAAATACTATATAATTCTGTATTCTATAGTAAACTTACTTAACTGAAGTAATATAATCAGTATATAATCTTTTGAAAAGTGGATAATTGTCATCCGGTAGTACTTAATCTATATGTTTGTAGTTTTTACCATCATTACCTTTGCCACTGTTTTTCCCTTACCAGCAGTTGCAGTTATTGGCACTGCTTTAAATTTCACCGAAACATCAGAAAAAAGTCCCCCAGTTCTTGTGACATTGATGATTGGTCCAATGTAATTTTCAGCAACTCGCACAACTGGTGTTGAGAGCTGCAGTGTTCCAAAAGCATCATCATTGGCATCGATAATCACATGAGCAATTGTGTCACTTTTTGGTCCAAGGTGAGGAGAATTAGAAACTGAAATTAAAAAAAAAAACTTCATGAGATAAAGTCTAGTTTTATAATTACGGTTACCTTTACAGTTTTCATGAAGCCTCTAACGGCACTTTACCTATAGACTGCAAATGTAGTCTTAATTTACTAGATATATATTAAACATGTACAAAATTACATGAGATTTCTGAGTGGTCTGCAGAATCGGTGTGTGTTATGTAAAGTTACAACAAAACAAGAAGACAGCTATACTACTACCAGCTCCCATTGCAGCCTTCAACATATAAGGCAGGAAAGTGCAAAATAGATCCCTGTATCTAATATTAAAGTGGCTGGCCCTTGCATCAGTCATGAAAAACAGCAAAACCAAGCCACCCACAAACAAGACACTCACCAAGCATGATGAAAAATATGACTTTGTTAATTAACTAAAATGAAGGCTGGGAATCCAAAGAGAACTGAACATGCTCCATAGCAAGGGTGTCAAACCTATGGCCTGTGGGCCAGAACTGCCCCGTCCAGGCCTTTAATCCGGCCTGGGAGTGGGCTCTCTTCTCTCCCCCCTCCCCTGACCATCCTCGCTGTTCTCAGCTTGAGCTGCCAAGGAGTATAAAGAGCAGAGGGCGGGGCTGCCCATGACAGCAAGGGCGGGGCTGACTCTGAGCAGAGAGCTCAGGGTAGGGCTGCCAAACTTCCCAGCCAGGGCTCCCAGCCTCCATAGATCTCCTCACAGGAAGGAGCTGAGGGGATCTTTCTGCTGTGAATCTTGTGCTTCTTTTTTATTTTAAAACTGGCTACACAAAATCCCACTATTCCCCCACCTTTCCAGTTAGGCAGTTTTGCAAAGAAATGCCAGTTTTAACACACACACACACCCTCCTAATGTGGCGCTTCAGTGGAATAGCAGAACAAGTGCTACTAAGAGGACACACAAAATTATTATCTCAAACCACCCTGTAAAACCACCCCGAAACCCTGGAGATAAGGTTGCCAACCTCCAGGTGAGGCCTGGGGATCTCCCACTTTTACAATTGATCCCCAGCTGACAGACATCAGCTCCCCTGGAGAAAATGGCTGCTTTGAAGGGTGGACTCTATGGCATTGTACCATGCTGAGGCCCCTCCCCTTCCCAAACCCCACCCTCTCCCGGCACTACCCCCAAAGTCTCCAGGTATTTTCCAACCCAGACCTGGACACTCTACCTGGAGAACCACTGCCACTCTGAGTAGACCGGGGG